AAGATGCCACAATGGAGGAGTTATTGAAGCTGCAAAGCTTCAAATGCTCATAATTCATCTCTCAGTTGTGCCTCGCAATATGAAACTCAGGTTAGTTTGATTGTCGCCCCTAATGAATTAGCCACCATCTAAGACTTTAAAATTAGTAGTCATTTCTTGAACTTGATATGCAAAATAGTTGAATAAAAGTAAAAAATGTTGAGCCTTGTGCTTAAGTATCATCTATGAACAGGTGGGAGAGGAGGAGTTCAAATGTCTGGTGGGCAAAAACAAAGAATTGCTATTGCACGAGCAATAAACAAAGCACCTAGAATCCTTCTTTTGGATGAGGCAACAAGTGCCCTCGACTCTGAATCTGAGGTTGGTCCAAGAAGCCTTAGACAACGTCTGTTGGAACACACTATCATCATAGTCACCGTCTCTCCACATCCGCTACGCCGACATGATTGCCTATGCGAAACGGCATGTCATGGAAAAAGGTTCACATGACGAGCTTTGCAAGAGAAAACGGTCTTTATACTCCCTTGTTCGTCTACAACAAACTGAAAAAAAAAACAACACAACCCAAGAAAGATGATGTGACAAATCTCAATTCTTCACCTGAATGGCTCATCTTCCATCACTATTGGATGTTAACTAGAAGAGAGAGATGATGAAAAAAGAAAAGGCAATAGAGAAGATTACAAAAGTTGCCTGCGCCATCATTTGAGAGATTGTTAGCTTTGAATCTACCTGAATGGAAGCAGGCAAGCTTGGGGTGTTTAAGTGCACTTTGTCCGGTGCGGTGCAACCTGTGGTTTCATTACCATAGGGTCTATGGATCGGTGTTTTTCTTGAAGGATCACGATGAGATTAAGGAGAAAACGAAGATTTATGCTTTGAGTTTGATTGGGTTGCAGTGTTCTCTTGTTTGTTGATTTAAGCCAACATTACAATTTTTCTTATATGGGTGAACACTTAACCAAGAGGATCAGAGAGAGAATGTTTTCAAAGATACTCACTTTTGAAGTGGGATGTTTGATCAAGATGAAATTCCAGTGGTGCTATGTTCCCGACTAGCCAAAGATGCAAATGTGGTAGTAAAATTTACAGTTCCAATTGTATTTCATATGTTTAGGAAGATTTATGTAAAATTTGAACCTCGTTGCAGGGGAGATCTTTAGTGGGTGATCGCATGTCTCTCATTGTACAAACTGTATCGGCTGTAGTAGCTTTCACTATGGTTTAGTATCATGCATGGAGGCTTGCTTTGGTGATGATAGCAGTCCAGCCCTCATCATAGTTACGTTTTATACTAGGAAGGTTCTACTTAAAAATATGTCAAAGAAGGCCATAAAAGCGCAAGAAGAGAGCAGCAAGCTTGCTGGCGAGGCTGTTTCCAACTTGAGAACCATCACAGCCTTCTCCTCTCAAGATAAAAATCCTGAAGATGCTAGGAAAGGCCCAGGAAGGACCAAGAATGGAGAGTGTCAAACAGTCCGGTATTCTGGAATAGGCCGCCTTCTCACAAAGCCTAACATCTGCACTTGGGCTTTGGATTTTGGTACGGTGGCAAACTCCTGAAAGAGGGGACATCATTCCGAGGGTTTTTGCAGACCTTCATGATCCTATGAGCAGTGGCTATCTCATAGCTCACTGCTGGAAGCATACCACAGATCTTGCCAGAGGCTCAGATGCTGTAAGGTTAGTCTTGCTATATTGGAGCGGTATACAAGAATCCGCGATGATTCTGAGGCTACAAGGCTGAAAAAATAACAGGTCATATAGAACTTCAAGATGTACATTTTGCATATCCTGCTAGACCTGATGTGATGATTTTCAAAGGCTTTTCTATCAACAATGAAGCTGGGAAATCAAGCATTGGTAGGGCAAAGTGGGTCTGGGAAATCAACGATTATAGTTTAATCGAACGTTTTTATGATCCTTCAAAGGGTATAGTAAAAATTGATGGCCGGGATATAGATCATACAATCTTAAATCATTGAGAAGGCATATGGCTGTTAGTCAAGAGCCACATATTTGCTGGTAATTAGGGAAAACATTATTATGGTGTAGATGACAACATAGATGAGTTTGAGATAATTGAGGCGCTAAGGCCGCCAATGCTCAGATTTCATAGCTGGATTGAATGACGGATATGAACCGGTGTGGGGAAGAGGAGTACAATTACAGGAGGTCAAAAGCAACGTATGCGCTAGCTCGAGCAATACTGAAAAAAGACAGTATTACTATTGATGAAGCAACTAGTGCGCTCGATAGTCAATCAGAGAAAGTAGTGCAAGATGCGCTTGAGCACATGATGATTGGAAGAACCACTGTATGGTGCACATAGATTAAGTACTATACAAAATTGTGATCTCATGCTGTATTAGACAAAGGGCAGGTCATCGAGAAAGGGACCACATCTTTGTTGGCCAAAGGATCCACAGAGTTACTACTCCTTAGTAACCTCCAAAGGAGACCAGATACTAATACTCATTCAACGATAATCAAATTTAAATTTTGTTTCCTTTTGGGTTTACTCAGTAAGAAGATTTAGTCTCGATTTATGTAATAATCGAAAGCTATCTGAAGTATTAAGGGATTGATACAGTGACAAAATTTTCTTTAACTTACATAAATAACGTGGTGGGGTGGCATTTCTTGAACTTTATACGATATAAGGCTTGCTTACAACAAAGAGAAAAAAAAGAATATTTTCGAGATCCTGCTCTCTTATATAATTGAAGATAAAAGGATATTACATCTACGATCTCTCTCATAAATTCCTATACAATTATAATGAACAATAGCGATTGATCAACTCATAAATAAGTCTCGCTTAGTAATTTGTAGGAACCAATCGCGAACTGATACAATAGAGTTGTAGAAAAAAGGTTGGTGAGAATAGATTATAAACGATAATATTTTTTCCGAAGATAATATTTTCTTCAACTTATATAGAATTACAACGGTGGAGGGCTTGCTTTACTATCTAAATCATTTCCATTGCCACTAATTAAATCAACTTATCTGAAATGATCAATATGCTGCTAGAATGTGTGTAGTAGACAGTATTCATCAAATTGAATTAATTATAGAATAGGTGATCAATAATTTTTGCATATACTCAATGAGTATATGTGTTGGAGATCTCATATCGACTAGGCACGCTCAAGCCAATGAGTTATAAGAGTGGTAATCCTTCCATCAATAGATCTTTTGAGTGAGGAGTTGGCCCAACTTCAACAAGTGGTATCAAAGCCAATCCCATTTGAGGCTAAATGATTGGAAATGAGTACCAAACTACCTCCATTTATAGGCAAGTTAGACCATATGGGCTTGACCGTAAGAAAGGGCGAGTGTTGAAGATCTTATACAGCTAGGTATGTTAAAGTCAATATTTATAAGAGTGGATAATCCCTCTAACTCAAATAAGCGTTTGGGTGAGAGTAAGCCCATGGAGGGATAGAGATATTGCAAACAAAGCTTCTAATGTTCTTTAACTTATGATTTTATTGAGTAATTCCTTTTTATGGCTACAAGTGGTAATCCATTGTGATATTACTTATCACAGCCGTTCAGTTTACACACAAGAAACACAAAATTAAACAATTTCATCGTCAGATCTCTTCTCCAGTGTTCAAAGGTCTTTAGCTGCACAGTAGTTTCTTTTGCCGGGAAGAAACCATGTGCGGGAGAATGAATTCCAACGCACGCCTCTGTTACTTTGTTTTGTTTTATTATGTGTTTAACAGTAGTCACCCTCATTTTTGGTAATAAAAACACACGACAGCGCATCATAATACCACTTACAGGCAACTTTCTTGTTTTGTTTTATTGTGGCGTGTGAGTGGGGTATTAGCAAGAAAAATTCAAACGACATGTGACCAAAATTTTTAAAAGATTTTAAAAAATTCTCAACAACCAATAATGCTATTTAGCTTAACGATTATCTTAAAATTTTACGACGGTGGGGGGTTGGCTTTTAACTTTTATACGATATGAGGCTGCTTATCAACCAAAGAAGAAAATGAAAATGAATATTTCAGGATCCTGGTCCTTTTTAATATTAAAGTTAGGAGAAATATTACGTTTACAATCTCTTCTCATAAAACTTTCTATCATCATGATATGGTAATTAGCGATTTGGTCAATCTTGTAAAATATGTCTCATTTAGTAAAGTGTGAGTTTGACAAGCGTAAGCTAATAACAGGGTCGTGAGAAAAAGTTGGTTGAAAATGTGAGGACCTCAATTTGAGCAACCAGATAATTATGTGATTATTGCTAATATGTGATAGAATTACTCTCTGCCTTTCTTCTTCCTGGTCTCATAACCATAAGCTGTTCAAAGTTGCTTTTTTTTTTTAAAATCCCTGTCATGGATCCAATACTGTTGACAATATTCACTCCCCTTGGTTTATGTTATGTTGCTTCATTTTTGTCATCTTGCTTGTCAACATTTTCAACAATAAATATGATGAGGCAAGCATCTATGTTTGATCAGCTTTGTTTACGACTTACATTGAATGCTTAGAGGATGATGTCACACTGCATGAGGTTATGTGACAATTGTGCTGGAAGTATTATTGCTTCTATTCATTGCATTTATATGGGATTATATCTTTTAAGATTTCAGAGCAAGAAATGTTGATAGTAGTGTCTGGTTCTTGCACTCATATTTACTTTTTCCCTGGTTAACTATTATAAGATAAGTGACAGTTGATTTAAAAGAGCTTTTGTGTGTATATACTTAATTAGAAGCTATAATTTCAGCTTGAATTATAAAAATAATTTTTCTGTTATATTTTAAAGTTTCTGTCTTTATTGTTTCTACGATATTTATTGATTGTAACATTTTCTGACTGATAGAAGCATTGAAGAATGGTTCTATAAAACTTAGAGCTCACTTTGATGGAGTCTTAAGTATCTGAAATGTAGCTTATAGAGGATTCCTAGAGTTGCTTCTATGTATTGTTTCCACTTTCTCTTTTTCTCAAAGTCCTTATTTAATCTGCAGCTTTGGTGGCTGAAATTAAGGAGTTGAAAGAGAATAAACTGGCAGAGGACAATGTTCTTTTTGCTATTGCTGCTGGATACCAGCAACCTGTAATTCCACACCAGGAACATGGATACTCTGACCTCAGCATTCATGAAGATTTGTATAAACTTGTTCAATATTCATGTGAAGAGATGTGCTCGACCAAGGAACGGGTGAATAAGGCTATGAAGCTATGGACTACCTTCTTCAACAAACTGAAAAAGAGCTAACAACCCCAGAAGAGACTGTGTTGATAAACCTTACTTCTCCATCCATGAATGACTCATCTTTCAAATCAAGCTTGGATTTAAACCCCAGAAGAGATAATGATGATGATGATCATCAAAGAAAGAGTAAGGTAGATGATTCCAAGATCAAGTTGCCGGCACCATCGTTTAAAAGATTGTTCACTTTGAATCTACCAGAATGGAAGCAAGCAAGCTTGAGATGTTTAAGTGCAGTTTTGTCTGGTGCTGTGCAACCTGTTTATTCCTGTATCATTGGGTCTACGGTAAATGTTTTTTTCTTAAAAGATCACTGATGAGATTAAAGAGAAAACGACAAAGTTTTATGCTTTGTGTTTGATTGGGTTAGTAGTGTTCACTTCATAGGTTAATTTATGCCAACATTACAATTTTGCTTACATGGGTGAACGCTTAACCAAGAGGATCAGAGAGAGGATGCTTTCAAAGATACTTTTGAAGTTGGATGGTTTGATAAAGATGAAACATCTAGTGGTGCTATTTGCTCCTGACTAGCAAAAGATGCAAATGTGGTACGTACTAATTTAAAGTTTTAAAACTAAATATGTTATAAGAGTAGTAAGATTAATTTAACACTGAACATGGAAATTTATTTGATTCGTTGCAGGGGAGATCTTTAGTGGGTGATAGTATGTCTCTCCTTGTACTAAGTGTGTTGGCTCTATCCATGGCTTTCGCTTTGGGATTAGTCGTTGCATGGAGGCTTGCTTTGGTGTTAAGGAAAAGCACATGGTGTTGATTACTTACATTAATTATTGTCAATTATATATTTTTTTAGTGGATGGCTAACCAGAAATGAGTAATTTAAGGGAGGATTAGACAAAAGTATCAAGCAATAATAGAGATTATTTTCCTTAATATTAATTAATTTAATCCAGAAATTGATATATTAATGAATCCATGAGGATTCGGGAATCACAAATTCACGTTCTATAATCAAGAATATCCGAAGGTGATCAACGTGGGTGGTTAAATTAGAAGAAACTAATTAAACAATCATTGAGCTCTCCTTGAAAGTGGAACATGTTCAATTAATGTAAAATCACACAGACCTCTGAATCTTTGACCAGTCCATATGCATGCTGAACTGTAAAATCATTTTGTAAGCCATAGCAGAAGACCTGTTTGTTTTGGTTTAATTTTGTGTGAAAATGGGAGGAGAAAGAGAAAGCAGCGAGGTGAAGAGGAAGAACGGGTCTGTACTGTCCATTTTCATGCATGCAGACGGTGTGGATATGTTGTTGATGTCTCTGGGATTCATCAGAGCTGTTTGTGATGGCTTCACTGGACCTTTAGTGGTGTTTGTGATGGGTGAAGTTATGAACAATTTTGGCACTGCGTCAACTGATAACAAAGAGTTGTTCATCCATGACATTAACAAGGTTTCATCATACTTATTGTTTAGTAATTTCTTTATTTCTTTATTTCTTTGGGACCTGGAAACATAAAACACTAACTGGATTTTCATATTGTGGTGGCAGAATTCAGTGTATATGTTGTACATAGCTTGTGGGGGATGGCTTGCTGGTTTCCTAGGTGGGTTCCAAAATTTTTATCATTTATTTCTTTAATTTATCAATACATACTTTGTTTTTCTTTCATAGATTGATGGTAGTTTCCATACGTTAATTAACTTTTGGGAAATGGTAGAGGGATATTGTTGGACAAGAACAGGTGAAAGGAAAGCCACAAGAACGAGAGCTAAATATTTGAAAAGCAGTATTAAGGCAAGATGTTGAATACTTCGATTTGCATGTCACCAGCACTGCAGCAGTCATCACTAGCGTCTCTAATGATACTCTTGTCATTCAAGATGTTATAAGTGAAAAGGTTTTCATCATCAATCTCATACTTAATGTATGAAAGAACTATTTGAAATATGTGACAAATTAACTCTCTGAATCTGTGACAGCTCCCAAAGTTTTTGGCCAATGCTGCAACATTTATCGGAAGCTATGTAGTAGGATTCTTGATGTCGTGGAGGTTAACCATTGTTATATTTCCCACTGCTCTGCTTCTGGTAATTCCTGGAATGATTTGTGGAAGAGCTGTGATGAATTTAGCAAGGAAGATGGCAGAAGAGTACAACAAGGCTGGGACAGTTGCGGAACAGGCAATCTCTTCTATAACAACTGTTTATTCATTTGTTGGTGAAACCAAAACCATCAACGAGTTCTCTTCGGCCCTTGAAAGCTTTGTCAATTTGTGGGTAAAGCAGGCTTGGCTAAAGGCTGGGCTGTTGGAAGCAACAACATCGTTTATGCTATTTGGTCTTCCATAGCTTATTACAGCAGTAGAATGGTCATGTACCATGGTGCTAAGGGAGGAACCGTCTATGCTGTGGCCTCTGCCATTGTCGTTGGTGGCTGGTAAGTATTACCTTTTGACTTAACAGAAAATACAAAAATACAATTGAAAAAACATCACACACACACACACACACACATATATATATATATATATAGATGTATGAAAAAAATATTTTTGTTGTTGATCAGGGCGTTGGGACCTGGTTTATCTCACTTAAAGTCCATATCAGAAGCAATGTCCGCAGGAGAACGTATAATGGAGGTAATAAAAAGAATTCCCAAGATTGATTCGGACAACATGGAAGGTCAAGTTCTGGAGAATGTTTCAGGTGAAGTTGAGTTTAGACACGTAGAATTTGCATACCCGTCAAGGCCTGAAAGCATAATCTTCAAAGATCTTAACATAAAAGTTCCAGCAGGAAAGACAGTGGCCTTAGTGGGAGGCAGTGGCTCAGGGAAATCCACAGTAATTTCACTATTACAAAGGTTTTATGACCCACTTGGAGGTGAAATTCTTCTTGATGGAGTTGTTATTCATAAAATACAACTGAAATGTTTCAGGTCAAAAATGGGTTTGGTGAGCCAAGAGCCTGCACTATTTGCAACAACAATTAAAGAAAACATACTTTTTGGCAAAGAAGATGCCACAATGGAAGAGGTTATTGAAGCTGACAAAGCTTCAAATGCTCATAATTTCATCTCTCAGTTGCCTCGGCAATATGAAACTCAGGTTAGTTTTGATTGTCGCCCACTTAATGAATTAGCCCACCATCTAAGACTTTAAAATTAATAGTGCATTTCTTGAATCTTGATATGCAAAATAGTTGAATAAAAGTAAAAAATGTTGAGCTCTTGTGCTTAAGTTATCATCATATGAACAGGTGGGAGAGAGAGGAGTTCAAATGTCTGGTGGGCAAAAACAAAGAATTGCTATTGCACGAGCAATAATCAAAGCACCTAGAATCCTTCTTTTGGATGAGGCAACAAGTGCCCTCGACTCTGAATCTGAGCGTGTGGTCCAAGAAGCCTTAGACAACGCCTCTGTTGGACGCACCACTATCATCATAGCTCACCGTCTCTCCACCATCCGCTACGCCGACATGATTGCCATCATGCAAGACGGCCATGTCATGGAAACAGGTTCACATGACGAGCTTTTGCAAGATGAAAACGGTCTTTATACGTCCCTTGTTCGTCTACAACAAACTGAAAAAGAACAAACAAAAACCCAAGAATAGATGATGATGACAAATCTCAATTCTTCACCCATGAATGGCTCATCTTCCACATCAAGCTTGGATGTTAACATTAGAAGAGAAGATGATGATGAAAAAAGAAAAGGCAATCGAGAAGATTACAAGAACAAGGTGCCTGTGCCATCATTTAGAAGATTGTTAGCTTTGAATCTACCTGAATGGAAGCAGGCAAGCTTGGGGTGTTTAAGTGCAATCTTGTCCGGTGCGGTGCAACCTGTGGTTTCATTTACCATAGGGTCTATGGTATTGGTGTTTTTCTTGAAGGATCACAATGAGATTAAGGAGAAAACGAAGATTTATGCTTTGAGTTTGATTGGGTTAGCAGTGTTCTCTTTGTTTGTTGATTTAAGCCAACATTACAATTTTTCTTATATGGGTGAACACTTAACCAAGAGGATCAGAGAGAGAATGTTTTCAAAGATACTCACTTTTGAAGTGGGATGGTTTGATCAAGATGAAAATTCCAGTGGTGCTATTTGTTCCCGACTAGCCAAAGATGCAAATGTGGTAAGTAATAATTTACAGTTCCCAATTGATATTTCATATGATTAGGAAGATTTAATGTAAAATTTGAACCTCGTTGCAGGGGAGATCTTTAGTGGGTGATCGCATGTCTCTCATTGTACAAACTGTATCGGCTGTAGCCGTAGCTTTCACTATGGGTTTAGTCATTGCATGGAGGCTTGCTTTGGTGATGATAGCAGTCCAGCCCCTCATCATAGTATGCTTTTATACTAGGAAGGTTCTACTTAAAAATATGTCAAAGAAGGCCATAAAAGCGCAAGAAGAGAGCAGCAAGCTTGCTGGCGAGGCTGTTTCCAACTTGAGAACAATCACAGCCTTCTCCTCTCAAGAAAAAATCCTGAAGATGCTAGGAAAGGCCCAGGAAGGACCAAGAATGGAGAGTGTCAAACAGTCACGGTATTCTGGAATAGGCCTTGCCTTCTCACAAAGCCTAACATCTTGCACTTGGGCTTTGGATTTTTGGTACGGTGGCAAACTCCTGAAAGAGGGCTACATCACTTCCGAGGGCTTTTTGCAGACCTTCATGATCCTACTGAGCAGTGGCTATCTCATAGCTACTGCTGGAAGCATCACCACAGATCTTGCCAGAGGCTCAGATGCTGTAAGGTTAGTCTTCGCTATATTGGAGCGGTATACAAGAATTCAGCCTGATGATTCTGAAGGCTACAAGGCTGAAAAAATAACAGGTCATATAGAACTTCAAGATGTACATTTTGCATATCCTGCTAGACCTGATGTGATGATTTTCAAAGGCTTTTCTATCAACATTGAAGCTGGAAAATCAATTGCATTGGTAGGGCAAAGTGGGTCTGGGAAATCAACGATTATTAGTTTAATCGAACGTTTTTATGATCCTTCAAAGGGTATAGTAAAAATTGATGGCTGGGATATTAGATCATACAATCTTAAATCATTGAGAAGGCACATTGCACTTGTTAGTCAAGAGCCTACATTATTTGCTGGTACAATTAGGGAAAACATTATTTATGGTGTAGATGACAACATAGATGAGTTTGAGATAATTGAGGCAGCTAAGGCCGCCAATGCTCATGATTTCATAGCTGGATTGAATGACGGATATGACACACGGTGTGGGGAAAGAGGAGTACAATTATCAGGAGGTCAAAAGCAACGTACTGCGCTAGCTCGAGCAATACTGAAAAAAGCTACAGTATTACTATTAGATGAAGCAACTAGTGCGCTCGATAGTCAATCAGAGAAAGTAGTGCAAGATGCGCTTGAGCACATGATGATTGGAAGAACCACTGTAATGGTAGCACATAGATTAAGTACTATACAAAATTGTGATCTCATTGCTGTATTAGACAAAGGGCAGGTCATCGAGAAAGGAAACCATCATTCTTTGTTGGCCAAAGGATCCACAGGAGCTTACTACTCCTTAGTTAACCTCCAAAGGAGACCAGATACTAATACTCATTCAACGATCAATCAAATTTAAATTTTTGTTTCCTTTTTGGGTTTACTCAGTAAGAAGATTTTAGTCTCGATTTTATATTTGTAATAATCGGAAAAGCTTCATCTGAATGTATTAAGGGATTGATACAAGTGACAAAATTTTCTTTAACTCTACATAAATAACGGTGGTGGGTTGGCATTTCTTGAGCTTTATACGATATAAGGCTTGCTTTACAACAAAGAGAAAATGAAAAAGAATATTTTCGTAGATCCTGGTCCTCTTTATATAATTGAAGATAGAGTAATACTACGTCTATTAGGGATGTTTAAAAGAACCGATTGAAACGAAACTAGCGAGTACCCAGGATTTGGTTTCGGTTTCTACCCAGAACCAGTCGTCAACGGGTAGGTTCCAGTTCCAAATTTTTAGAATCATTACTATGCGGTTCCGTCTCTGGTTCTTATAGTTAGGAATCAGAATCAGGAACCGAGACTAATATAAAAAGAGTAGGAGGTTAATAAAAGTTTTTGTAGAAAAAGTAATGTGAATACATTTATATTTATATTTTATAACATTTAAAGTAAGTTGGTTTGACTTTAGAGAATCTATCTTTATAAAGTAATGGAGTTTGTAATTTTGAATTTATAATTTGTAATTTTATTTTTGTTAACAAGTTCCAGGTGGGGGGGTATTTGTAAGTTTTTAAATTTTTTTGGCCATTTTAAAAACTTTTGGGGGGTCATGTAATTTTACTGGGTACCCAGAACCGGAACCGGAACCGGAACCGTTGTTACATGTTCCAGTTCTGGGTACCTAGGAACCGGTACCGTCGGTTCTGGTTCTGGTTCCAAATTTCAAGGAACCGTCGATTCCAGTTCCTTCAAAAAATACAGGATACCCGGAACTGAACACCCCTAACGTCCACAATCTATTTTTATAAACTTTCTATCACAATCATGACGTGGTAATTATCGAATGGTCAGCTCGTAAATGGATCCCGCTTGATAATTTGTAAACTGACCAATCACAAACTGTTACGTCCAGATCATGAAAGAAAGTTTGTAAAAGTTTATAAGAAGAAATTGTCACCCTAGTATTTTTGAGATGATATTTTCTTTAACTTTATATAGAGTTATGACGGTGGTGGGCTTGCTTTTCTATCTAAATCATTTCCATTCGCACTGATTAAATCAACTTATATGAACTAATTAACAAGAATGTTATCATCGTGTAGTAGACAGTATCTCATAAACCTGTGAGATATTAACGATGAAATCAGAAGGAACTAACAATTAGTTTATGTCAACAATGGTGTTCAATCCTTAGCACATGGTTGTCACCAAACTTCAATACAAATATCATTGACCTGTGTGACCTTCTTGGTTTTTGATTTTGTGTGAAATTGAGTAGTGAAAGAGGTGGAGATATGATGATGAAAAAGAAGAGGGGTTATAAGATCCATTTTAATGCATGCAGACGGTGTGGATACGTTGTTAATTAATGGCTTTGGGATTCATCGGAGCCGGCCGTTGGTGATGGCTTCGCTGCACCTTTGGTGTTGTTTTTAACTAGTAAATTGATGAACAATATTGGCAGTGCATCAACTTCAAACTTAGATTTGTTCACCCATAACATTCAAAAGGTTTAATATAACCTTCTAATAAATTATGTTTCTGTTTTCTAATAAAAAGTCTAACTCGGGTTCCATTAGCGAATTCAGTGAATCAATTTTTGTCAATAGAAGTGGCAATGGGCCAGACTGAGACTGGGTACACTTCGGCCTAGGTCTTGGCCTGACCCCCATGACTGGGCCTGGGCCCAACCATGTTACGGGGATATCAGGTAATGCCAAAGCCTGTCTTGACGGGCTTTTTGTGATTCTGAGTCTCGACCTATATTAATTTTTATAATTTTTACTCTCATAAGTAATCTTTTATATATCTTTGTTTATCATTCATATTAATTTAATTAATCGTATCTTTAACTTTAATCATTATATTTTTGTGTGCATAAATTAATATGATGTACAAGAGATATTGGGTTTAATTAAAATCGTAATTGATTGTTATTATAAATTCATTTCAAAATCATAATCAAATAAAATAAAATTTTTTTTTTAAATGATAAAAACTCAAGCCTGGCCTGACCCATAACCAAGGACGGATCCTAAAACCATATCCAGGCTCATACCCATCCTCGTAAACAGATGCCCAATACTCGGAATTCTGGTTACAATTGCCATCTCTAGTTTTTTAGTGAAAATCATTGAAAAGTAAATGGATATTATTAATTTTATTTGTTTATCTTTTTTTATTCCCTGCCTTCCTGGGAAGTTTTAGAGGCATATTGCTGGACAAGAATAGGTAAAAGGCAAGCTACAACGATGGTAAAATTTATGGGAGAACTCTGATGAGCTTAGCAATGAAGATGAGAGAAGAATACAACAAGGCTGGTACAATTGTGGAACAGGCAATCTCTTCGATCAATTGAGATTGTTTTCCTTAATATAATTAATTTAATCCAGAAATTGATATATAATGAATCCATGAGGGTTCGGGAATCACAAATTCACGTTCTATAATCAAGATATCCGAAGGTGATCAACGTGGGTGGTTAAATTAGAAGAAACTAATTAAACAATCTTGAGCTTCCTTGAAAGTGGAACACGCTCAATTAATATAAAATCACACAGACCCCTGAATCTTTGACCAGCCCATATGCATGCTGAACTGTAATATCATTTTGTAAGCCATAGCAGAAGCTTGTTGTTTGGTTAATTTTGTGTGAAAATGGAGGAGAAAGAGAAAGCAGCAGCGGGTGAAGAGGAAGAAGGGGTCTGTACTGTCCATTTCAAGCATGCAGACGGGTGGATATGCGTTGATGGCTCTGGGATTCATCGGAGCTGTTTGTGATGGCTTCAAGGACCTTTAGTGGTGTTTATAATGGGTGAAGTGAACAATTTGGCAGTCATCAACTGATACAATGAGTTGTTCATCCATAATATAACAAGGTTTCATCATATAGTTTAGTAATTTCTTTATTCTTTTTTCTTTGGGATGCCAAACATAAAACACTAACTGGATTTTCATATGTGGGGGGCAGAATTCAGTGTATCTGTTGTACATACGTTGTGGGAGATGGCTTGCTGGTTTCCTAGGGGGTTCCAAAATTTTTATCATTTATTTCTTTAATTTATCAATACATGCTTTGTTTTCTTTCATAGATTGAGGGAGTTTCCATACATTAATTAACTTTTGGAAATGGTAGAGGGATATTGTTGGACAAGAACAGGTGAAAGGCAAGCCACAAGAATGAGAGCTAAATATTTGAAAGCAGTATTAGGCAAGAGTTGAATACTTCGATTTGCATGTCACCAGCACTGCAGCAGTCACACTAGCGTCTCTAATGATAATCTTGTCTTCAAGATGTTATAAGTGAAAGGTTTTCATCATCAATCTCATACTTAATGTATGAAAGAACTATTTGAAATTGTGACGAATTAACTCTCTGAATCTGGACAGCTTCCAAACTTTTTGGTCAAGCCGCAACATTTATCGGAAGCTATGGGGTAGACTTCGATGTCATGGAGGTTACCATTGTTATATTCCCACTGCTCTGTTCTGGTAATTCCGGAATTTGTGGAAGAGTTGTGATGAATTTAGCAAGGAGATGGCAGAAGAGTACACAAGGCTGGGACAATTGCGGAACAGGCAATCTCTTCTATAGAACTGTTTATTCATTGTTGGTGAAACCAAAACCATCAACGAGTTCTCTTCGGCCCTTGAAAGCTTAGTCAATTTTGGGGTAAAGCAAGGCTGGCTAAGGCTGGGCTGTTGGAAGCAACAACACGTTTATGCTATTGGTCTTGTAGCTTATTACGGCAGTAGAATGGCTGTACCCTGGTGCTAAGGGAGGAACGTCTATGCTGTGGCCTCCGCCATTGCCGTTGGTGGCCGTAAGGATTACCTATTGACTTAACAGAAATACAAAATACATTAAAAAAAATATCATATATATCTATTATATATAGAAAAAAAAGTTTTTGTTGTTGATCAGGGCGTTGGGACCTGGTTTATCTCACTTAAAGTCATATCAGAAGCAATGCCGCAGGAGAACGTATATGGAGGTATAAAAAAGAATTCCCAAGATTGATTCGGAAACATGGAAGGTCAAGTCTGGAGAATGTTTCAGGTGAAGTTGAGTTTAGACACGTAGAATTGTACCCGTCAAGGCCTGAAAGCTAATCTTCAAAGATCTTAACATAAAAGTTCCAGAGGAAAGACAGTGGCCTAGTGGGAGGCAGTGGCTCAGGGAAATCACAGTAATTTCACTATTACAAAGGTTTTATGACCCACTGGAGGTGAAATTCTTCTTGATGGAGTGTTATTTATAAAATAACTGAAATGGTTTAGGTCAAAAATGGGTTTGGTGAGCAGAGCCTGCACTATTTGCAACAACAATAAAGAAAACATACTTTTTGGCAAAGAAGATGCCACAATGGAAGAGGTTATTGAAGCTGCCAAAGCTTCAAATGCTATAATTTCATCTCTCAGTTGCCTCAGCAATATGAAATCACGGTTAGTTGATTGTCGCCCGCTTAATGAATTAGCCCCCATCTAAGACTTTAAAATTAGTAGTACATTTCTTGAATCTTGATATGCAAAATAGTTGAATAAAAGTAAAAAATGTTGAGCTCTTGTGCTTAAGTTATCATCATAGAACAGGTGGGAGAGCGAGGAGTTCAAATGTCTGGTGGGCAAAAACAAAGAATTGCTATTGCACGAGCAATAATCAAAGAACTAGAATCCTTCTTTTGGATGAGGCAACAAGTGCCCTCGACTTGAATCTGAGCGTATGGTCCAAGAAGCCTTAGACAACGCCTTGTTGGACGTACACTATCATCATAGCTCACGTCTCTCTACCATCCGCTACGCCGACATGATTGCCGTCATGCGAAACGGCCATGTCATGGAAACAGGTTCACATGACGAGCTTTTGCAAGACGAAAACGGTTTATATCCCTTGTTCGTCTACACAAACTG